AGTTATGATCTTTTAAATAGTTGTATTCAAGTTTTTGGTAATTTTTATATATTTTCATATTGTCTCTTTATGTTCTCGCTGCTTTATAACGCATACCACCATTCCTGTGTCCCTTGAAAATATTTTCTTACAGAAATTGGTACCATATATGGTACACGTGGCATTGAATGTGTTAACGTCCAGCGGTTGACACATTGTGTATTGATAACGAGGAATCTCGTTTTTATATACTCTTAGCTATAGAACTTTGGTAGTTACCATAGCATTTAAGGAAGTATAAAGTTTGGTTAGAACTACTTGTTCATTTAGAATATACTACATAACAATATGATACTTGAGTTTTTTTTATAGATAGTAAATATAATTCAGTTTTCTGAGAATTGAATTGTGCGGATGGCAATTTTCACTAAGGTCAACTTATATCAGTATACATAGAAAAACTCAGATATATTGTTGTGTAACATATTTTAAATAGATAATCAATTCGAATCAAATTTTATGTTTTTTTTAATGTGGTAATTAGCGAAGTTGCATAGCTAAGTGTTTTTATATAGAAACGAGATTTATCGTTACAGTCTGTAATGTGTTAACGTTGTTAACGCTAATTGTTAGCCAACCGAATAGGTAGATCTCCCAGTTTTCAGTTTTCTTCCATTTTTTATGGGGTTAACTGTATTGGCCTTTGAACGACTGGTTTGTTACTGATATCTTAATAGATTTACAAAAATTTATTACAGTTTACTTCGTCGGTTTCAGAAAAATTGACATTCGTTCGTTCAGACGCTCGAATTTAGAGGTTCAGAATTAGACAGCGAGGACACGCATTTGCGTGTCCCCGTCAATCAATATCGACCCAAACATTTACCGAATAATGTTTATAGAGGTCAATATGAGTCAAATTGGCTCGTCCGGTAAATCTAGCGTTAACACGCTCTCGGCCACGCGTTATATGCGTGCGACACTGTTGATCACCGTTGCTATGAGGATGTTAACGTGTATTTGGCGTATTGTATCTCTACTGTAGCTCTGCCTCTATCGAAACGTATATATAATACGCTTATATAAAATGCTTCGCTTTATTCGCCATGTTCCATTGTACCAAGGACAATAATAATACTCGAAACGACTGATGTCGAATAAAAGCGACTGACTTAAATAAATTAATAATAATGAAATATAAGGGCCGTAGCACCAAATAATTCACAGGATAAACAGAAACAATGATTAATTACCGACTACAATAATCTTTACATAACTATCAGACTCTTTTATTTAATACAACAATCTACTGTTGTTTAGAAATACTAAATCAAATTGAGTGTTAATCGCTTTTCTTCCTCTTATGTAAACTTATCTGAACACTTTTTTCTCCCAATTAGTTCATATAATGGACGTTCTACTGTACATATAAATCCAGTATCGAAATTAATTCGAATTTGTGAATACATGTTGGAGTGAAGTCTATCACTACAGAATGTGTCGAACATTTTAGCGTGCGAGGATAACCATCAAGTTTCCATGGCAGAAATAGTTGTCGAACGTTGATCACTTGACTTTTAACAAAACTGATAAATATCCAATTTAACAAAACTGGTAACTATAAAATTAACTATTACTAACATATTTATATTATTAAATACTTTCACCCATCACCAGTCGCCTCACGTATTCTCGAGCAGCTCGAACGCAGAATAGCGTCTGGAAATAATTAAGCAGCAAAATGGCCGTCGCAATGCCCAGGAACGAACTCGTACACCTCGTACAATAAGCAGAATGCGAGCAGATAATAAACAATCTCCGAATAAACTTGGAAATTTTCATCAAGGCGCCGGCAGCCTGGGAATTAAACCGTTCCGCCGGCACGCTCGCGAATGGAAAAGATGCGACGCGACGATTCCAGCGGAACGCGGCGGCGCTGCAGATAGTAAACGAGTTCCTTCGATTCCGAACTACTCGTGGCCTGGTAAGCGTGCTAATTAAGCGCGCCGTTGGATGCAGCGCGGGTAATTGGACCATCCCGCCGCGCGCCGGGATTTTTCGCTTGAATTTGTTCATCAAGATCGACCTTGCGCGCGTCGAGAGCTCGCGCCCCGATGTTTTCGCGTCCGACCGCCGCTCCTCGTTCTATTTAGTTCCTTAGCGGCGGAAGAGGATCACTCGTTTCGGTCAGCTTGTTTCGCCGATTGAAAAATACTGCGATTGCGGCCCGGCTTCCGCTGGATAGCCAACGAGTGCCCGGGACACTGGATTGCGGCTCTATCAGGAAAAGTGGATCAGTCGCGCGCTGCTTCTCGCGGAAGGTCGAGTGAGAATTGTCAACTTTCGTTTCAACTGTTTCTGTAGATACCGGAGAGAGAAATAGAATATCTAGGGCTACTGAAATAAAGTCCGTAGTCAGGTTAAATATATTTATTACGCGATGTGGCTCTAATGAGGAACTAACTGCTCTTCCTCGACTAATTTTCCAAAAAGGAAAACTCATGGAAAGAATGTTGCAAGTGATTCAAGCAAACAAACGCTCGAATTAGGTTTGACCGTCATTACGTTAATTGTATTTCTTTTAACATTAGGATTACTGAAATGTGAAACTGATGTTCTTAGAGTTTTGTGTAGTAACGAGAGAAATGGAAGAAATAGAATAATACGAGCGTCGGTTTTTGGGAAGAACGTTGCAAGTGGTTCGAGCAAACGCACGAATTAGGTTCGATCGTCATTATATTAATTGTATTTCTTTTGTCACCTTTGACGTTAGGTTTACTGAAAGTGAAACTAATTTTCTTGGAGTTTTGTGTGGTGACTGTGTAAAGAGGTGATTAGTAACGAAAATTATATTGCGTAGTAAACGTTAATAACTGCGGTTAAGTCCAGAGAATCGAGAAAATTAGTGTTCGGCTTGTAAAAGTATTACAGAATATATTCGGAAGCTAAAGAACTTCCTGATCTAGAACAAAGAAGAACGTTTATTCCATCGAATCTCCCAAAAATCCGAAAATATGAGAAAATCCACTCAACTCTCGGCTTCTAAGCGACTCAGATGTATATAAAGTGTATTCTTTTCGTCGGGAAACGCAGAGAAATCTCCTAATAGTTCCATCAAGCGCGCTGATAAGAGAAATAATAGGACAGTTAATCAAAGCAACTCGTCAAACACATTCTCCCGGATTCAAGCACGCGATTCCAAGTCCCAGCAAAAACTCGCACAAAGAGCCACGACACATCTTTCCCGGAAACAAAGGACAGCACCGTGTCCCACGCTGGCCAAAGCGGAAAAATCGCGTGGCCCGCTTATCAGTTCATTTGGCACAGACACGAAATTCCGCGGACCGCTAACCAGCGGATTTTCCCGCGGAGCGTTTCTCAGCTAAATGGATTATCCGATCCTATCAGCGGTACTTTGCCCTGTAGAAAAATACAGGGCGCCCGAGCAGCGGCGAATTATTCGATGGGCAACGAGCGCGGCCCGCGAATCCCGTCCTATTAGCTAGAGTACACGGAGCATAACCCGGAGATCAGCGAGGGATCAAAAGTAATTGGACGAAGACGGCGGGGCAGAGTGCGGCTAGGAGAGGAGACGAATAAGGCCCAATACTCGCCATCGGTCCGCTGCAAATTATTTCCCTTCGCATTTGCATAAGTTCGTGGCGTTTATTTTTCTACCGTGTGGAATGATAATTTTGAAAATGTGTTTCTCTGATTATATAGTGTTATTATTGTAGTTCCTTAATTATATTTTGTTGTAATTGTATTTGCCTGATTGTAGTTTCTTATAATTGTATTTTCCTGATTATAGTTTCTCGTAATTGTACTTCCCTTATTATATAGTTTACTATAATTGTATTTTCCTGATTATATAGTTTACTATAATTGTATTTTTCTGATTATATAGTTTACTATAATTGTATTTCCCTTATTATATAGTTAACTATAATTGTATTTCTCTGATTATAGTTTCTCCTAATTGTACTTCCCTTATTATATAGTTTATTATAATTGTATATGCCTGATTATAGTTTACTATAATTGTATTTCTCAGATTATAGTTTACTATAATCGTATTTCCCCGATTAGAATTACGGTGAACAACGGTTTTCCCTACGAAATATAAGCATCAGTATATTCCGAATATTTTATATACTCCTTCGCATTGTATACGTTCTGCTAATGCTGCAGTTCGAAGGTTTCCGTAAACGCGTAAACATTTGCAGCGCAGTGACGGCTATTTCGGTTTATCACAACCGAAACCGACGTTACAACTGCTTCCGAGCGCTGCGCGAGGCCAATGTCGCGATCCCTTCGATGCAAGGGTTGCAAGAGGGAAAAAGAACGGGGAACCAACGATGTCCGTCAACGTGACGGCGAAAGCGGCGTCCACGAGCTGGCGTGCACAAGTACGGGGAGTCACGCGACGCTCCTTCGCGAGAACGGAACGAAAGGAAGTGCAACGAGGCCTCGAGCAGCCGTGAAAGAGGGACGCGGGACGATCGATCGGTCTGTGGGCGATTCAAGCGGAAAAAATGGATGGATCGAGGAGCGAAGGGTGAGAACGAGGGAGAAGAGTGTAAAGTGGATTGTTCTTGGATTTCGGGGTGTAGCTCGCGACGTTATTGCCGAGGGAAACTAATAGAACACAGGAACGAACGGTAACAATGAGAGAAACGAGCTTGACAGTTTAGGATTTAGGGGATGTTCGCAATGTCCGCGAAATTGGACGGACATGATAGAATCGAGAGCACGAATGAGACGAGCAAGGATTATTCAGGATGTTGGTAGCAATGTGGTAATCTGACACAGACAGGGTGTGAAGAGGTGAAGAGTGTCACGTAGACTGGCGCGAAAACAAGAGAACGAAGAAACAAAGAGGAATAGCAGTAACGAAAAGAAGAAGACGAACAGGTTCGTAGATCTCGCACGGGTGTAGGGGTCGGTCCGCAACGGCGTGCGTGCACAGTGTCGAAACCATCCTCTAAAACGCAATGCAAACGCGTAACTCCGTTACGTACCGAGGGCATCAGCTGATCGGTGGACCTGACCCTGGTCACCTTGTTCCTGTAAATCACTCTCTTGGCGAGCTTCTCCATGGGCTGGTTCCACTTCATGAAGCTCACGTACGCCAAATAGAAGCCGAAGAGCACGAGCGCCTCGTACCAGTGTATATAATTATCGCGGAAGAAGTAGATCAGGGTGAGCAGGCTGGCGCTGTAAAACGTGCAGTCGCGGAACAACGGCCACCATGTGAGGGACAGCACGGTACGCGAGAATATCGCGCACATCCCGATCACGAACAGGATATTGAACACGGCGGAGCCGACGATGGTGCCGATCCCGACGTCGTCGAACGACACGAACACGCCGATTATCGACGTGAACAGTTCCGGGGCCGAGCCGCCGGCCGCCATGAACGTCGCGCCCGCCACGTCGTCCGCGATCTCCAGTTTCTCGATGATCACGTCCAGCGACGGGACGAAGAACTCGTCGCACACGATCGCCAGCGCGACGAACATGTACACAACGCCGATTACGTGCAATATCACCGCGCCGCGTCGGCGTTCCTGCACGGTGAACAGGTCCTCCGGGAACAGCGGCGCCTTCTCCTCGGTCATGTTGCCGCCGACCTTCTGATGATGGTGATGGTGGACGGTGGCGTTGTAGCCGTCCTCGTTGTTTACGTTGTCGCCGGTGTACACGGTGCCGTTCCCCGACCAG